TTGTTTTTTTTTCAATAAAACACACCATTTATGTATGATGTTGCTGGGAATTCGCAAAAAAAAGAAAATTAACAAGAAATTCTGAATCCTTCCACTATATTAAAGAAAAAGGAGAAAAGAAAATTATTTTCATTTATTTTCTAATTTTTCTTTTTTTTTTTATCTCAAACATTGCAGAGCGAATATACGTGCTTTAAATAACAATTTCATTTTTAAAGAGACGATCCTTTATTTGCCTATTTTTTCCCTCATATATCTTTATACATCGATCCTCCCCTCCCTCTCTTTCACCAATAATCTCTGTTCACTTTTTTCTTGTTTAGGTTTCATTTTTTCTCCATTAATATACGACGAATAGTTTATGTGAGTACAATAAGAATGGAAATAAATTTATAACTGTTTATTTACGAAGAAGATGAAAGAGTATGTTTAGTAAGGGTTTGAGTTTATTCGTACTATTCTATTGTGCCGAAATTCGTACGGTTTGAATTGGTATGCCACCAAAAATTTCAAAGTATAAAAAAAAATAGAAAAATAATATGAGTTTCTTGTTAGTTTATTAAATGATTTTATAAAAGGATTCTGGAAAAATTTTCTAGAATAGCTACATACAAATACAATCAAAAAGGAAGAATTAAATTATTGAGCAATAGAAAAGGATTGATTTTGGTAATTTAGAAAGGTTTTATTTATGGTAATTGCGGAGAATGATTTTATTTCTTGTTTTTTTATGTTCTACTTTTATTTGTTTTTAAAATTACTTGATGACAAAAGGTTACTACAAGAAATTTACGGTATAAAAATATTTTTTGGATGATATTGGGATTTGTTTATAATAATTATACACGCATAGGTGGGTGAGTGTCTAATTGAAAGATGTAAGTTCAATATATTATAGTACCTAGGTTTTGATATCATAAATTCAAATTAAATTAAATTTTGAGGTTAAAATATATACGTAATAATCTTAAAATATGGTAGGTTATTTCATTAATTTCAACAGAATGAAGCGGTTTATATAAGCTCTTAAATCTTTTAAACAATTTTCCTGTTTAATTTTGACTACAAGTGAAATATTTAGGAGAATTATGTACGGTTATGGCTGTCATCGCAATTATTCTGGAAAGTATTACATTAAATCTAGGACTTTCATCTCATATTTTAGTCTTAAGATGCTTAACTATTGAAAATATTGTTGAAATTATTGTGTCTTCAAAAAAAATGATGCAATGCCAACATAAGAGGGAAGAGACACTCATTCCTGATGTTAGTACATTATTACTATCCATTGCTAGTATTAATTGCTCAAATATTACTACGCAGTCGAAAAAAAAGGCGGAATGAGTTTAACACCTCGAGTACGGTATTTAAGCTGGGTGTTAAATGGTCTACGCAGGATTGGAATAACCACATCAAAAAAATTTGGCATAACCAGGATTTGGCCAACAAACATCAACATGAAGAATCACGAAATGGAGCAGACGGTTGAAGAGGAGAAATCTGAGTGAGGATCAACTCGGGAACAATAGTATGGATAGCTCTATAAATGGTAAAATGGGTGTTGCACTGGCCTTTATTGTTGTACGGCTAGGGTATTCATTAGAATTTTTAACAAAAGTCCACTTTAAGCTTTGATTTTAAGAATTTTAACGCTTACTGGTAATTTTTAACTATTTCAAAATATACAGAATTTAATTACACGTAAGGGACTCTGTACTAGCTAGAGCTAGATATTCTAAGAGCGCGCAGAGTTAAAACCGAAAAGACTAACATCTACTATCGGTACTTGAAATGTCTTAATTGATTTTTGTTTTTCATTTTCTATTCATTTTTTAATTTGTAAGATTAAAAATTTTTACTGATAATTAAAAATATTTAAATTTTTTTTTTTTAAACTTTCTTTTTTTGAGGGGCTTTAAATCTACTTATATAAATACTAATTCCTTTTGATAAGAAAAATAAATTTTTTATCAATTGCATAATATTCATAACCTTGTGCGTGAATAATGATAATTAAAATTTAATAAAATTTTAATTCATGATAAAGTTAAATACTAAAAAACAAGTGCCTTTGTTCAATACGTAATTGTTTATAGATGTACGAAAACAGATGTTTCAAAATTTTTTCATAAATTTGGAAATTGGTTCAAATTCTTTGAAAAAAACAATAGTTTTTTCTTATAATTTTAAATTCAGAATCATGGTTCCTTTATTATTGCTATTTAACTGTGTCACTGTTACTGGCAGGGTGTCTGGGTTTTAGTATACTTAGTACTTGAAATTTTCTCTCAGTAATGTGCCATTGTTATTTGTAAAATATTGGAAGATGAAGAGTTTTTTACATTGTTATTTGTAAAATATTGGAAGATGAAAACTATCTAATTTGTTGTGAAGAGAACGAAACGATACAATTAAATATCATTGCTTGCTGGGGATCTAGTGAAGTTCTAGAGTTTACCTGAAATATTACATTTGTCCACTCCATCCATGTTCCTAAAATTATCGATATCTTGTATACGTAGCATTCTTAATATGTGGGAATGCATAAAAACTAAAATTAATAATAAAAGAACCAATAAATTTACTAATAAAACAAGATTTAATACATATCATAGTGAGAAAAATTATTATTTACATTTTAATTTAGGTACACAAACATCTTTTCGAGTATTTTTTTTTCGCTCACTTTATATTTTTGTAGCGTTCCTTTCAGGTGTATGTAAAACACTCCCTTTTTGCAAATTACGCTATTTTGATCCATTGAAAAAGTTTGTATCTAAAAAGTATAATTGAGAATGTTGATTCTACAATAAAGCGTCTAATTTAACTTGTTACTCCTATATAATAGAATTAGGCATCTATTTAAATGTAAATTGCATTCAAAATTAAATTCCTATGGTGTAAAACGAACGCAGAAAATAAAAAATTTAACTAAAATATTTATTTGAAATCAAAACAAATAGCGTCTACAGCTTGTAATCGCGTCTATTCTAGCCTCATACTACATATTCAAAATAAACTCCAAAATTTTTGTTTACATGAATGTGTATAGTATTATATGTGTAAGTACCCAATTGTAACATTTTCAATTATTAAATAAACCATGAAAAAATCGATGACAAACTATAGAAAAGCATTAAAAAAGTAATTTTTTTTTTAAAAACCCTGATTTTTATTTTCAATTTCAATTATAAATTTTCATCTCTAATTTTATATATTTATTTTAGCTACACATACAAGTTTATACATATTGTGTACAATGACAGATGTGTATCTTTTCGTATATGTACATATATTATACAGATAACAGCTATCTAAGCGTGACGAATTATTAATATGAAATCAAATACATAAATAAAGTGATATTTATGTGCTTATGTGTATAATGGTAACACTTTTTGCAGTTGGATTTAATATTTGTGCTACGGGCCACTGGAATGATTTATGTAGAATATGCCGAAAAGTTGTTGATTAAAATAATATATGAAAGCTTTTAAGAGTATGAACCTATAAAAGTAGTTTGCGAATTAGAGAAATGGAAGAGAGGAGTACTTAAGCTGCTCGTTAAAATTCGTCAAAAATTTCTATACCTTACATGTTGGAGTCCTTTGAAATCTTTGCAAGTACTAAGTATATCTATAATCAAATTAGTAAAATTTGACGAATTTACGAAAAATTTTACAATCCCCTTAATATAGAATGCATATATTATTGAAAATGGGTTCGCAATTTATGATTTTTTTAGCACTTATCAACTAGATTATTTTCAATCAAAAATTATTAAATGATTTACTGGAAGCGTGTAGCGTGCGAGCTTTAATCAGGGTTCAATTCGATTTTTATCGTATAAAATATGAACTATTATAAAAGAGTGTATATGTATTTTTGGTTTTGGGGTGTGTGAAATTAAAATTTTGTTGTCTACAACTTAAGTTATCGTCACACTTGATAAACAAATATAAGAAATTATAAAAAAGAAAAAAAAAAAATGAAATCTGTTTATATTTTTTTTTTTAATATTTTTTTGTGATATAATTTTTATTTTTATGTTTTTTTTTTATTAATAATGTTAACAAAGTTCATCTGTCTTATATGCACAGTTGTGTTATTTTGAATGTACGTGGGTATGTATATGTTATTATGTATACATGTACGTTACATGTGTATGTAAGTACATAATATTTTTTTTTTTTATTGCCATAGAATAATTGATATAATTTTAGTTTGTGAGAATCGTAATAATTAATAATCTGTAGTTTAAGATTCTGATAAATGGATTCGAGTAGTTTGAAAGCCCGGGTAACTGTAGTTCCGTCGGAAAAGTTCTCCAGTATTTCCTTTTTCTGTTAGTGACGGCCACACAATCCTCCAGGAGGTGCACTGAAACCGGGACAAAAAGACTTGTCCCAGCCCCTTTTTCGCCTACGGGTTGGTTGTTTCATTTTCTTCCACGCCCACATATTCAGTCATTCAGCACAGTGTTGCATCTACTCAATTCGTTGAGCTTCTCAAGACAGTCCTACACTACCCCGAAGAATAGTTAAAGTTAATTCAGCGACAACAGGCTGAATGTCTGACATTTGGCTATGTCCGACATCAATGTTTATAATAAATCAGTCCAGTAAGGTTGTGACGTATAATATTAATTTGCAATTGTAACGTTAGTGGACTTAAAATAACTGCAGTTAATATTATAAGTGGAAGTTTTAATCGAAACTGGTCATAAATCTTTGAGGAAATTAATGTTGGATTCTTTCCACCAGCTACCGTTAACTTTATTTTTATCACAAATTAAATAATAAAATTTTTGCTTTCTACAGTTGAAAATAAAAATTTAAACAATTGCCGAATTCCAGTTGAAAACATTGTTTTTTTTTCGTTTTTTTTTTTTAATTTTTTATATTATTATTTGTGTTTTCTGTTTATTTTGGTTTTTTTTTCATATCAATCTACTAAAGTGACAAAATTTTTAGTCGCATTGAATCTATCATAAAGTGAATATGTATTTTATCGTGATACTCGCTACAACTGTACTTAGTTTTATAACATTTACATATTTATTATTTAAAAATAGTTATAGAACATGGGAGAAATTGAAAGTACCGTATGTTACACCAAAATTTCCATTTGGTAATTTTAATTTACCAACAAAAAGTCAACATTTTGGTATACAATGTCATCAATTGTATGAGAAATTGAAGGGGAAAGATCAATATGCTGGAATATATTTATTTAAACAACCAAATTTATTGGCATTGCATCCAGATTTTGTTAAATTAATTTTAGTTGATGATTTTAATACATTCAATGAACGTGGTTTAAATGTTGATCTAAAACATGATCCAATTACAGAAAATATATATTTTTTATCTGGATCTGAATGGCGTAATATGAAACAAAAATTATTAAATGGTTTTACATCAAATCGTATGCGTACAATATTTAAAACATTATCTGAAGTTGGTGAAAAATTTGAAGAATATTTAATTACATCTGATCTACAAGGTAATGAATGTAATATAAAAGATATTATGACAGGTTATACAGCTGATGTATTAAGTTCATGTTTATTTGGTACCGATGGTGATAGTATTGGTAATACAAATTCTGAATTTTGTATTGCTAGCCGTAAATTATTAATGAATTCATCAAAATATCATAATGCTATAAAATTTTGGGCAATTATGTTTCCAGAAACAGCTAAAAAATTAGGTTATTGTATATTTGATAAACAATCAACGAAATTTTTTGAACAAATGTTACATAAAACAATCGGTTTCCGTAAAGAGAACAATTTACATAGAAATGATATATTACAAACAATGATAGAATTAATGGATCATAACGATGAATATGGTTTGGCAATAACATTTGATGAAGTAATTGCCAATATTATAATATTTTTTTATACATCATATGAATCATGTACAATAACAATGTCATATGTTCTATATCAATTAGCACAAAATCGTGGTATACAAACACAATTACGTTGGGAAATTGAACAGATATTAAATCAATTTGAAGGTAAATTAAATTATGATTCATTAGGACGAATGCAATTACTTGAACGTGTTATATTAGAAAGTTTAAGAATGCATCCACCAATACCAATAATACAACGTATTGCAAAAGAACGTTATCAATTACCAAATGGTTCGAAAATTCCACGTGGTACACATGTACTAATATCAGTTTTAGGTATACATTATGATTCAGAATTATATCCGAATCCAAATAAATTTGATCCAGATCGTTTTATACCAGAAATTGTTGCAAAACGTCATCCATATAGTTATTTACCATTTGGTGAAGGTCCACGTATTTGTATTGGACAACGTTTAGCAATGTTAATTATTAAAATAGGTTTAGTAAGTATATTAAGAAAATATAGTTTTGATATTGGTGATAAAACTCAAATACCATTAAAAATTGATACAACATCAATGACATTATTGGAACCGGAAAATGGTATTTGGTTAAAATTGAATGCTGATACTAAATTACGTAATTAGAACCGTTATATAAGACTATATTAATAAATATAACATTAATTTTTCATTTTTATATATTTTTTTTAAAATAATCTTTAATTTATTTTTTTTTTAATGAGTTTGTGTTTGAATCTTTGTATTTGTACTTATTTGTTTTGTTTTTCCGCATTAGTGTGCAATTCTTCAATTCGATTTTTAAAAATTTTTCTGCCTTTCTTTGTACACTCTTTAATTTTGTCTTTAATTAAATTACTTAATTTATAGAATCATTGTATGTTAATTTTAATTTTGTATATTTAAAATTTAATATTAATTTATCAACTACTTGTTGTAATAAATGTTTTTTTTGCTTAAAAGTTTCGCTTAATTTTTAATAATTAAATTTATGAATTTGTAATTATTAAAAATAAAATAATTATTATGGTTTTTTAATATTTAATTTGTTTTGATTTTAATTTTAGGCTGTGTTGAAAATTCGATTTCTAGTACAAAGGACATCCGAACTAGTTAAAATGATCTTAATGCTCATATGACATAGTCCCTACACATGATGTTGTAAATATATTGTTTTGTTATGATGAATTGGATACAGTTTCTGCCTATCTAAGTTAATTACTAATTTGACTTAACGATTTTTGAATAAGAAGCTCTTTTATATAACCGAGAGCAGTCTAGTTTATATAAGAAATACGTTAGCAGAAATAGTAAGAAAAATTCCCTACTTTTTTGATGGAACAATAAGGCATCCTTTTCGAAAAAGATTTAAATAAAAGAGAAGAGTAAAATTTCTTGATGTTATATAGTTCGACTCTGATATCGTGACATGCCGACATATTCTAAGAAAAGTAATTTCATAATTTTAAAAGCATATTCTAAAATTTCTTTACCTTTTTTGGGTAGACTTTATTCAATAAAATTAGGTAGAAACATACTCATATATACGTAGATATGTGTACATAATGCAATTTATATACCAAATATACAAATATTTATGTCTACAAAACCATAAAATAAATTTAATCAAAATTCTCATTTATTTGTCGAGACAAAATTTTGAATTCATCTTAATTTTTATTTTAGGAATTTAATATTTATTTATTAAAATAAAAAAGATATACCACAAAAAAATTGAATAAAGTATTTTGGTTAATAATTTTCTTGAGTACGTGATGTTAAGTATTCATAATATTTCATTGAACTCCGAAAAAATTATAATTTTCTTTCATGCTTTTTAGGTTCAACATATTGAGTTACAAGACTATAAGACTATAGTCTTGCAATTATAATTTCACTCACCACAAATGTTATTGGAATGCAATTTAAAAATTAGTCGTGCTACAATTTTCATTTCATTCAATATTACCGTTTCTTTTTTGCAAAATGACTACCGAAAAACCTTCCCGGCATCTGAGTATATTGCAGTTCATGCTCTCTTTGCGAGTTATCACATGAGTGTCGCTATGGTTGTTTCCGTTATTATCTTATATTGTTATCCGTTATTATTATATAAAATCTTGGCTAGAGCTCAGTATTTTCGTGAATGTAGGCATTCAAACGGTACTTTGGTATGGTATTTGTGCACTCTTAAGTTTTTCGGCGGCAACTACGTGAATGAATCAACCGATTTTAAGATATAAGAATTGAAATTCACTCACTTTCGTTATTGTTAGTTCTCTTTTTAAAAATTCTACAATAATGGAGGCTATATCAATTGTAATTCTAATAAATTAAAAAGTCTTAAGTATATTTTAATATTTTAGATTATTAGCGTAAAACATATAAAATTTCAAGGTAATATTTTCATTCAATTACTTTAAAATAATTTTAGATTTTTGATCTTCAATAAATAACAAATAATAGAATTTTACAATAATCAATATTTTTATTGTAAAAAGAGAGTAAGTGAGATTAGATTGTGTTTTATAACGTTTATTTTTTTTTGTTTGTGTTTTGTAAACTTTTACCTCTCTTGCAATTTCATTTTCAATTGTACCTATACCTAGTACTTACTCATTTTTATACTCTTTATACTTTGTTTATTAATAGTACAATAGCAGTAACATAAATATTTTTTTTTTTGACGGAAAAGAACAAACAATTAAACAAGTTTTCAATTCGTTTTAAAATCATTGTACTTTTGGGAGAAGAGGTGGGGAGAAAAGAGATAGAGTAAAAGGGGAAAAAGAGATTAAAATGTAATATTGTAATATTTTTACTCTATGTTTTGGATTTTAGTATTTTTTTTAACAAAAAATTTAATTTTTAGTTCAATTGATTATTTTTTTTTTTTGTTATTTTCTATTTTTTTTTTGTTACAAAAACAAACATGCAGTAGCAATTTCACTGAGTGCTATGCATTTTCCAGTCAATTGGAAATTTTAATTTTTTTTTTCTCTTTTAGTTTGTTTTTAGTAAGTTTTCTTCAATAGAAATATATTTGTTTTTTTTTTTTTTAATTCTGTAACACAGAAGTGTTGCCGCTTTGTTGTAGATTTTATTCTTATAACAAGAAAGTGCTATCGTTTTGTTGCAGAAATTCTTATTATATCGTAAAATTGATGGTTTTTTTTTGACCAGAAATTTTAGTGTAATCTCCAAGAAAGTGTTAGAATAGGAGAATATGTTTAAGAGGATGTTAGGATAGGCTTTAGGAAGGATGAAGATTGTTTACGAGTACGTTACGACATATGACTGAAATTGGTTGAAAATTCTATGTTTCAGTGTTTGATTATTTTTTTTATAATTCAGCGCTTGTAATTGTTTTAAAATTTACTAGTTTTTCAGTTAAAAAATCATCAACAGGGCTAATGAATGTATGTATTAAAACATTATATGCTGCAGGCCCTATTTATATATTATAAATTTTTGTGCCTTTCCGTCACAGGTCCTAAATACAAACTGAGTTGGTAAGAAATTTTTTTCTTGAAATTTTCGGGATACTTGTTACAATAAATAAGTTTTTATGGGAACTCAAAAATTACAAAAAAAAATCTCGAACAAATATGGGAAACTTCTGCTTTAATTTGATGACTTGTTTTAGTTTTTTTTTTTACTTATTTTTTATGTGTACAAGTTTCCGTCTTATTTGATCATTATTTTGTTGCAAAAAGAGTTTAAAAGTTCATGAAATGAAAATAATTTTTTTTCTTCTTTAAAAATTCTACGAAAATTGTTCAAGAAGGACGAAACAAATTATACATGTATGGTGGACAGAATTGTTCGGCGTTTTTTTTTTTTACGAAGTAGAAAACCGCATAGAAAAGCAGATGAAAAGGAAAATGGAAAATGAAAGTTTAAAAATGATTTTATTTTTATTATTTTGTTAGCCATTTTTTAAATCCTTTAATTGTGCTGGGATTATAAAAGTTAAATTGGCATCCGAGAAAAGGAATAAAAATGAAAATCTCAGTTAAAATTTAATTTGAGAGGAGAAAAAGTTGATCTTTGAATGTTATCAATTAAAAATAAAAATAAATCTGAAAATGTTGAAAAAAAATTTAATTTTCAACTATTGAAATTGGATTTAAAATATCTTTGAATAGCAAAAATGTTAAAAATTTTGTTTAATAATCGTTTTGAGTATAAAGTTTAAAATCCGAAAGATTATTAAAAGATTGCTGTTAGCGTTTAAAAATCCAGCGGGAGGAAATAAATTTAAAGCTATGGACTTCAAAAAAATGAAATAGGAAAAATTTGAGAAAGGAAGCTGCTTATAAATGCTCATTTAGAAAACTTTGGAATGAACAGAGTAAACCAAGCTAGAAGATTAAAAGAGTGCTCAATGATAGGTTCAAAATGCTGTCATGCATCTCATGGAGATCCCGGAATTTTTCCGTGGTATATGCCTTCTTTTATGTAAAATTTTTTTTGTTTATTTTTCGGTTCAAAGTGCATTTAATGATTTTCAATAAAACAGTCAACAATATTACTTCATCAGCCACCTACAACCAAAATGCACAACAACCAAAATAATGGGTTTATTTTAACAACTCTATTATTGAGTATCAATCATCAAGATCCTTTTGTATTCCAATATAAGAGGACTTAAATTAAAATTAATATATACTTAAATATGAAAAAAAAAAATGTTATACAAGTTATACAACACTATAACTACATATTTGGCCGCAAGAGGACAAAAATCATCCAATCCAATCAAATATAATAATAGTGTGGGTAAGAGTTGCCGTAACAATAGTAAGTTAATAATGAAAATAAACAAAATTATTTTCTTATATAACAATAACATTCTTTTCAAGTTGTCCGAGTTTTAAAATTATATTGAAATTTAAAATATACTTGTATACATACATCTAGCTGCATATATTTATAATTCACCAAAGATGGAATCATAAGTACTTATTCAAAAGTTCATAATTTTTTTTCGGAAACGTTGTTGAAGTTGTAAAATTTTCTCCATAGCATGGCATTTCTTATATATATAAATAAATTTATTTTTCTTTTTCATTCTTGTTAAAAAATTTAAACAATAATTTTTATTAAAAGCAATTTTCTTGTATTTCCTGTATAATATAATTCCAGTTTAATCCTATTATGATTCATGAGAGTTTATTCAATATTTCATATTACATTTATAAAATAAAGGAATTATCACCAAAAAATATTAAAAGGAATAGGTGTGAATTAGATTTAGAATAGGTAATAATGATAATTTAGAGTCACAATAATTTGTAAGAACAATTTTTTATTGTGGAAGAATTTCTAAATAATTATGAGACATTAACTTCAAAATTCGTTTTAGATAACGTAAACATTCTCTGGTTGAGATTACGATTCCCAGTTTATTTAATGCGATTAATATTAGATTGATATTGAAACCGGAAACAATTATTATCTATGCCAAACTATTTTCAAAACCTTTCAGGTCAATATCAAAATTTTTGTTTTTTTGAATTAAGTAACATTAAAAGTAAATATATTGCAGACATAAAATATAACCACAATAATTAACAAAACCTGATAAAGCTGCATCAAGAGCTGCATTTCACTTCCAATTTTTCATTTTTAACAAG